AGGAAACAGCACTCACAGCCTCGTCCATAGGGAGGGGTGGGGCGGGGAGAGCTCCCCTTAAGAGAAGCAAGGAGCCGTGTGGTCACGGAGTCTGTGCGCTCGGCAATGACCAGGAAGTTGCCGCATGATTTTGAGCAAGTCAGCTCTCATCTTGGAGCCTCAGCGTCCTCCCTGCCTGGGCCAGCAAGGGGGTTGCAGTGGTGGATCTGTAAGTGCTGCGGCTGACATTCCAGAAGTTCAGCCCTTCATCACTGGGTGCATGGTGGCCTCTGGGCAAGTGTCGGTTTCCTCCCGGCCGGTTCCTCCTGTGGTTCCTCCTGTGCTGCCCGCTTCTCTGGCCCCAGCAGGAAGCTCCGGGCTGGCCGGTGTATGCCCGGGAGGAAGTGACAGCAGGTAGGCTGAGAGCTTTAGGCTTCCCTGGCAGGGGGTGCAGGAGGGAAGGCCTAGTTGGGCATCTGCTTGTGGAGGGTCTACCCCACAGTTCCTGAGGGGGGCCCTTCTGCTTCGACATGCCCCCCCCCCCAGACAGCCCAGCCAGGCCAGTATCCCCCATGCCCATCCCCCTCCTCCCCTGGCACCAGTTGCACGAAGGCAGCCCCAGATGGCTCCCTGGCCCAGGGACAAAGGCCACACTGTGCCCGGCCTTGGGCCGGCCGCAGGCTGGGTCACACTGAGCCCTTCTGTCCCCAGATGGGGGTGAGGGGCAGACAGCACCAAGGTGACAGGCCTTTTTCCTATCTCCCTTCCCCCTTGACCCCCAAATCTGAAGAGCCGATTCTCTCAAGGGAAAAGCGACAGAGGCATCTTATGTCTTGAGCTGGGGAACAACTAACCATTCACTACTCCGTCTGCCCTGTCGCACCCAAGACCCTGTCCGGCTCAATGCCCCGATTGTCCCCAGCAGAGAGAGACGTCCACTCTCTGCTGTGGCCACCACCCCTGCCGCCTGCTCCACTGTCACCATCAGAAAGTCCATCCTTACATCTGCCCTCTATCCCTCCTGCTACAGTGACAATCACTTCCTCTGGGTCCCGAGTGGGTGGAGAACAGCCGGTCCCCATCCCTCCGCATCGCGTGGCCCTGCATTCCTGCTTGAGAAGCCGTCCTCTGCTTCACCCTCCTTCCAGCTCCCACCCCACCCTCCACCCCACCCTAGACCCAAGCCGGTGGCTCCTGGCTCCTAACTGAAGTGAGGGGAGAGCAGGAGCAGGTGCGAGTCTTGCAGAAATTGGGGGCCTCCCTCCCCAAAGGCCTTTAATGAGCCCCCCTTCCCTACAGACAAGAGCAAGGGCATAAGATTTATGGCAGCTACTGGTGGATTCCTGAACACAAACCCAGCATGCCATCCCATAAATCCCAGACTGCAGGACGGCTTTATGGGGGAGCCCTGTTTTTAGGAGGGGGCGTGACTAGTCCCTCTTGGCAGAGCTCAGACCTCAAGGAGCCAAGTGACTGCCCCCCCTCCACTGCCGCGAGGCCCTAGGATAACGATGACCAAGCCTGGGGCATCAGTCTGCAGGGCAGACATTCCTCTCCCTTCTGTGCGGTGGTGGTTGGCAGGGAGGGGTGGGGGGTCCGCTGCTTTACTCAGCATGCCTTCCTTCTGCCCTCCTGCACCTCCCCAGCTCTGAGGATTCCCCATCAGCACAGAAGCTGGAAACCGGGGTGAACTACCATCCCTTACCTGGACATCGGATGCTTTTCACCATGGCTCCGTGTCCAGAGCACTGGGGATGCTTCTTTAAAAAAAAAAAAAAAAAAAAAAAAAAAAAAAAAAATTCCTTTTCCCAGTCCCCATTCTCCGTTCCAGACTCTGAGGGTGAGACCCAGGAATCTGAGTTTTTAAAAATACTCCCTTGGTGCTGCTAATGTTCAGCCCGCTTGGTAAACAATGGACCTGTACGCTGGGGACATCTCCTCTCTCCTGTCCTGCTTGGGAATGGGAGGCCACAGGTAGGACGCGTCTAGATCTTCTTGTCCCCGGAACCCATATGCCGCCGCTATCACGAAACTTCTATCGCGGGACACCCCCTCGCCCTCAGCTGGCTGCCACTACAGCGTGAAGTGGGGTGGCTGCCCTCTGGGAGCTTCCCGTCTGTGAGTCCTACAGAAGGCACCAGGGGCGCCCGGGGGGCTCTGTCGGTTGAGCATCGACTTCGGTTCAGGTCATGATCTCACGCTTCGTGGGTTCGAGCCCCGCGTTGGGCTCTGTGCTGACAGCTCGGAGCCTGGAGCCTGCTTCGGATCCTGTGTCTCCCTCTGTCTCTGCCCTTTGCCCTCTTGTGCTGTCTCTCTCTGTCTCAAAAATAAACAAAAAACCAAAACCTTTCCTGATAGACACCCATCAGTGAGTGGTCATTGGACTCCACTGAGGGACTCACAAATAGTAACTCTTTTTAAATTTATAGATGGGGACTTGTGATGATTATGGTGTGCCCAGTTCTGCCACTTTGTGCAGGTGTCTTAAGGACATCATACTGACAGAAAACTGTTAATGCCATGAAAAAGTAGTCTTTTTATGTTGTATTTCATATGTGTGTTACTTAAATCTTTATTAAGGTTGATAAATCTTGTGCTGCTCAACTGAAAATTTTTCTGACTTGCCTTAAAACTAAGATAAATTCTTTGTTCGGATCCTTAAAATTTTGCACTATAGTTTTGTGTTAATGTGTTGATAACCTAGAAAGTGTAAGAATCTGGATTAAAATACAGAGTTTAGCTCTGCCTCAAGGGACTAAATTCCTTTGTGCGTTTATTCTATGATGACAGATTTTATAATAGAACGTATGTAATTAGAAAATACATTGGTCCGTCCTTAATGTTATTCTTTGTAAACTAATCAGAATGAGCTTTTGACGTTGATTTTTAAAAATTAGTCTTGTCGGGGCGCCTGAGTGGCTCAGTCAGTTGAGCATCCGACTTCGGCTCAGGTCATGATCTCGCAGTTCGTGGGTTTGAGCCCCGCATCGGGCTCTGTGCTGACAGCTCGCAGCCTGGAGCCTGCTTCGGATCCTGTGTCTCCCTGTCTCCCTGCCCCTCCCCGCTCACGCTCTGTCTCTGTCTCTCTCTCTCTCAAAAAAAGTAAATAAACATCAAAAAACAAAATTTTTTTTTTAAAAAGCAGAGGGCAGGCCCGAGATGGCCAAGAGCCATGGAAGAGCAGCTGAGGTTGGCTGGCAGGAATGAGCTTAGGGATGGAGAACGGGAAAGTCCAAGCCTGCTGGGCTTTGCCAAGGAAGCTGGTAGAAGAGCTTCTGATACCTTCTCATCAAAGGTGTCACCAGCCCGAGTTCCTTGAGAACACAGGCCGCACTTTACTCGCCGTCGTGACCCCCGTGCCTTAGCACAATGCCTGGACACAGTAGGTGCTCAGTCCTCATTTGCTCAGTCCTCACTGAACTAAGTGAGCCTCCAGGACCCGCTGACAAAGATGGGCTCGGTAGGCAGTGCAGACCTGAGACCTCTACGCTGAGACCTGCCGGCCTGAGGAAAGAGGGCCTGGCCACCCCCAGTCTCTGGGCTCAGGGTTGCTGCAGGGCCACGACTCAGGTGCATTTGGGGGCAGCCAGGAGCCAGCAGGCCCAGGGAAGGGACCCTTTCCAGGCTGGCTGAGGACAGAGGATGATCATTAAGCAAAGCAAACATGTTACTGACCCATAATCCCTTAAACCGGGAGGATTCCGGAGGGGTCTGGTTGCCTTGGCAACGGGGTACTGGCTAGTGACGGGGCGGAGAGCATCCCCTGGGGATGGGCTGTGCCTGGTGCTTGGGTAAAAGCTGGGAGAGGGTGCAGGGTGCCCCCCTCCCATCACAGGACTGGCCCTGGGTGTCTTCTTGGCAGGCGTCAGTGGGGCCCTTGTGAGGCCTCTCAGTCCCCCTGCAGCTGAGGGAGGTGTGGGCAGAGCGGGATGAGGGCAGCCACACCGAGAGCTTATGAAATCATGGAGGAGAGCAGGGAGGGGGTGATTTGGGGGAAGCGAGGTGGGCCAGCCCCGCTCTGGTTTTCAGGGCAGGATAGAGAAGAAAGTGTCTGTAGGAAGAAGCAGTCTTACTGGGTGGCTGGGGGTGTCCTCTCACTCACAGGGCGGGAGGGCTGGGGAGCCACAAGGAGGGAACCCTTTCTGGTTGGGACAGGGGCCTTGGGGGTGAGCCTAGCAGCCCACCCTCTTCCCCCATTGTGTTCTCTGCAGTGGACACCCTGCCGCCCTCGGGGCTCTGGCGAGGGACGGGCCCAGCCTCCTGTCCCTGGGGCCCTCTTTTTCCGGCAAACTTCTGTGTTTCCCCTGAGACCTTCAGCTGCTCCTGACCTCCCTCCAGCTGGAGAGATGGGGCCGGGCCCGCTCAGATGCATATGTCCCCTCCCTTGTCCCTCCCTTCTCTTCTCCTGTCTCCCAGGGACCTAGGACAAGCCAGAGAGGGACCTCCAGGTGTCAGTAGCACGATGAAATGGGAGTTGGGGCCAGATTCTGTCACAAAGCTGTAGGCAGAGCTGATGTCCAGCTTGTGGGCGTCAATCAGTAAGGCTTACTGGCTGTTCGCATACTCAGGCTCTCACATACAAGTTGGTAAAGAGCTATTTGGCCTGAGCGTCACCGAGTTCCGGTCCCCTTGCTGCCACTCGAGGCCTCTTTTGAGAACCTTCTAGACCTCCAGCAGCTAAAAGGTTACCATCTGGCCCCGGTGAGGCCCCCAGGGTCCTGCTGGCACATCGTGCGGTTATTATGAGCAGTACTTTGCTATACTGACTGATTCATGGTGTGACCGTCTCCCCCGGGGGGCAGGGGATCCTGGGGGAACGAGAATCGCAGGGAGGAAGAGGGCTGCTAGGTCCTCCCCTCTGGGGGCTCGAACTTTGGTTAAGAAGATGCAACCCCAGCTTCTGGATGCAGGGCCCCAGAGCTCGAGGGGCAGACGGAGACCAAGACCGAGAATTCACATCTGGTGTCAGCACGGACCCGGTGCCGTGTCCTCACCTGCCCTTCTCCCCTCTCCCGTCTTAGGCCCTGCTGCCTGGTCCCTGCTGACCATGAACAAGATGAAGAACTTTAAGCGTCGTCTTTCCTTATCCGTGCCCCGCACAGAGACCATCGAGGAGTCCTTGACCGAGTTCACAGAGCAGTTCAACCAGCTCCACAACCGGCGCAATGAGGGTGAGGTGTCTGCCCCCCCCCCACCCCCGCCCCATCCTTGATGCTCCCCCACGGCCCCTCCTGGCCCGTCCTGACCACGCCCTCACTGCTGGGGAAGGACAGAGGTGGGGCAGCAGACTCCCCTCCCCACCCCTCCCCTCCCTCCGGGGCAGAGGGCCGGGGTGGGCAACTCATGCCTCTGCTCTCAGACCTGCAGCTCAGTCCTCTCGGCAGAGACCCCCAGCCGGCGTCCAGCACCTTCTCCCCGACAGACAGCGGGGAGGACCCTGGGCAGCTGTCCCCGGGCATGCAGTACCGGCGGCAGAATCAGCGCCGCTTCTCCATGGAGGTGAGGGGCCCAGGGCTCTGCCCTGTGCAGGTGACAGACGCGTCTACAACGTATGCCCAAGGAGGGTGGTTGCGTGGGAGCCAGACTTCATGGGTTCAAATCCCAGCTCCGCCACTATTCAGCTCTGCGACCTTGAGCAAGTTTCTCATGCACTGCATACCAGTCTCCTTGTGTCAAAATGGCCATCGTGGAGATTAGGCAAGTTAATATATACCAAGTGCATAGAACAGTCCCGGTACATGGCAAGGGCTGGACAATTTGATTATTGTTCTTGTGACCCGTATGCATGTGCCCGAGTAAATGAAAAACAGGCTTACAGAATCACAGCGTCTGTAGGAACCTCATCCCGTAGATGGTTATACTGCAGCCCAGAGAGAGGAAGGGACCTCCTAAGGTCACACAGCAACCCCTGTGTGTTCACATATGTCTCTGAGCACATCTTTGAAGCAGCTGTGAGCCTGGGGCCACAGTCCATGGTTTGGCCCTGCTGGGATTGCTGTACAGGAAAGCCGGGCCCTGGGGGAAAGGCGAGGGTCCCACAGCACGAGGTAACCTGGAGCAAATGCTAGTGTCCCTGTCTCATCCCGGCCACGTAGGACATCAGTAAGAGGCTCTCTCTGCCCATGGACATCCGCCTGCCCCAGGAATTCCTGCAGAAGCTACAGCTGGAGAGTCCAGACCTGCCCAAACCGCTCAGCCGCATGTCCCGCCGAGCATCCCTGGTGAGTCCTAAAAGGGTCAGAGGTCACCAGGGTGGACCATCCTCTCCCCAACTTGGATACATCAGTCCTCGTTTTGAGGGTCCCAGCTGAGGCCTGCGGTAGTCTGTGGGCCTCCAGCGCCACCTGCTGGCCTCAGGAGACTCACAAACCTTGTACTTGGTCAACATCCCTTCCCTAGAGGAGTCCCGCCGGGCCTGGGGCTGAGCCCCCAGCCCTCTCTGGGCCCCTGGATCTCCACTGGGGTGAGATCCATAGACCAGCTGGCCCGTGCTTTCCAGTCGCGGACGCTTATCAGATTTCCTTGGGAGCATCTTGCAAAAAACATGGACTCTGGTCCCTGCTCCAGATACCTACAGAACTAGACTCCGGGTGGTGGGGTCAAGGAATCTTGTCGTTAAGGGTCAGGTACCACTGAGCTAGAGGAGGTATGCTGATGAGAGAGGCTGCCGGGGAGGCGGGTTCTGAACTGGGTCCTGAAAGGCACAGTTCCCGCCCGGGGGGAGCTGGTCATCCGAGCAAGGTGGAGGCAGACAGTGAGAAGGTGTGCGACAGTCCCACGTGCCCCAGCCCTGGCTCCACACCCTCCACTGCCAGGGGAGGAGGGAACTCTTACTTCCAAGGCTCCTTCCTTTATCACAGGGATAGAGGGGAGAGGCCAAGAGGCAGGGTTTGTGGCTGCCCTCATCCCCGCTAGCCTCTGTTCTTCCCTCTCACCAATGGGGGTCTCATTCCCTTCCCTCCCGGAGGCTGGTTGGGGGGGTGTCATGTATGTGGGGCTACTGGGGCCTTGAAGCTCACAGGACCCTGTGTCTCTCCCTCTCAGTCCGATATCGGCTTTGGGAAACTGGAAACATACGTGAAACTGGACAAACTGGGGGAGGTAAGAGACCGGGCAGGACGCTCAAGAGCAGGGTCAGCATCTTCCTTGCCCTTCCTGCCTTCTCACTGCCCCCGCCCCACAGAGGCGTACCATTTTGGCCGGCCAGTCTGGCCCAGCCTTTTGCAGGCGTTGAGGGGGGCCCAGGTCCTGGAGGACATTGAGGACACAGTGGCCCGTGGGCTCTGGGCATAATCCAGCCTTTTTTTTTTTTTTTTATTTTTTTTTTTGCCTGAAAGTACTTCTCTGGATTCAAATCCCTGCTCTAGCATTTGCTAGCTCTGTCGCCTTGGCCAGTCGTATGACCTCTCTCTGCCTTAGTTCCTTCCTCTGGAAATGGAGATGCAATTGCTCTGCCGCCTAGGGTTGTGAGGCCGGAACAGGTTACTATAATAAGCTCGTGTGCACACTTAGTGCCCGGCACACGGTAAGCACTGGGTGCCGTCCGCAGTTTCTGTTACCACGCTTGGTGTCAGAGCCTCGGGGTGGGCGGAGGTCTACAGACACAGCCCTCTCCCTCCCGAAACCCAAAGAGGAGACCGACCTGTAAACATCGACATGAGGAAGGGCAAACTGGTGTTAGAATAGAAGGGCACCTAGCCTACTGGGGGCCTCGGGGGAGGACAGTGCATCCTGAACAGGGAGGAGGGAGGGAGAAAGTCATAGAGAGGTGGCCCTCAGAGGAAACAGAGAATAGCAGTGAAAGGAGAAGAAGGACGAAGGGCCCAGCCCAAGCGGAGGCACGAGGGGGAGGGTGCTGGACAGAGGACTGTGGGCCCTGAGTGTGGCTGGTGCGGCTGGGGTTCTTGTCCCCAGGGTACCTATGCCACAGTCTTCAAGGGGCGCAGCAAACTGACAGAGAACCTCGTGGCCCTGAAGGAGATCCGGCTGGAGCATGAGGAGGGGGCGCCTTGCACCGCCATCCGAGAGGGTACAACGTCCTAGGGTCCTGCGCTCCTGGGGGCTCCTGGGAGGAGGGCTTCATTGACCTGATCCCCAGTGGGTGCTTGGGGACAGAGGGTCATTGCTGGGGGAGGGGGGGCTCCCGAGGCTGATTGCGGGAAGAGAGGGAATGAGGGGTTTGTGGGGCCCCAGGGACCCAGGTGGGCCTGTCACCCCACAGTGTCTCTTCTGAAGAATCTAAAGCATGCCAATATTGTGACGCTGCATGACCTCATCCACACGGAGCGGTCTCTCACCCTGGTGTTTGAGTACCTGGTGAGTTGGGCTGGGGCTAGGGGCTTCTCCTTTCTGTGGTAGGGGTGGGGACAGCGGGAGGGGGCAGCCCAGGCCTTGTTCTAGAACCAGGTTCTCACATGCTCCCATGCAGGAGTGGGCCAGGGGGGCTTAAAGGACAGCTCGGACCTTGGGCTCTGCCCAGGGAGGGGCTTCCGGCCGGGGGTCAGGACAAGTCAGGGCTGAGCCAGGCTCTGTGTTCCAGGACAGTGACCTGAAGCAGTATCTGGACCACTGTGGAAACCTCATGAGCATGCACAATGTCAAGGTGAGGGCCTCAAGGAGGGCCGCCTCCCCTCCGACACCCTATCTTGGCACCCACCTGTTTTCAAGCCCAGCGTGGGAACCCACACTCACCAATAGGGGCCCAGCTGCTGAGGTTGCTCAGACCTTCAAGTGAATGAGGGTTGGGGCGCCTGGGTGGCTCAGTCGGTTGAGCGTCCAACTTCAGCTCAGGTCATGATCTCACGGCCCATGGGTTCGAGCCCCGCGTCGGGCTCTGTGCTGACGGCTTGGAGCCTGGAGCCTGCTTCCGATTCTGTGTCTCCCTCTCTCTGTCCCTCTCCCTGTCACGTTCTGTCTCTTTCTCTCAAAAAATAAATAAATGAACGTTAAAAAAAAATTTCAAATGTATGAGGGTGTGCAAGGTCACTGCCATTCGGGGTAAGCACCCTTCTCTGCCCCACCAGTGCAGACACACACCCTCTACCACCATCTAGCTGTTGACATAGAATCCCCTCGCCAGCTCCGAGCACCACTTTCCCATCCGTCAAATGAGTGTATGGATAAAAGGAGACTTCTGGAGAAGCGTAAAAGGATGAGTGACCTCTTCTGGTCATTGTTAAAGAATCAAGGGCACACCTCCCCGCCCAGGCCCTTCCTGGCCCTTCGTACCCACCCCCCCACCCCCAGCTCCCAGGCCAGAGAACTCTCTGGCCTCCAGCACACCTGATGCCCTCCTCTGCGGATGCGATCCCCTGGGACGGACGGAGCCCAGGATGGGGAGCAGCGTGGGTAGAACACGAGGTTGCTCTTCTCCGGACACCTCGCTGCCCCTCCGTCCCTGCCCCATCCCCATCCGAGCCGTGGGGCAGAGACGCAGGGTCTCCCCCGTGGGACACGCTGTGTCCTTCACTCACCGTCCGCTTCCCCTCCTCCCGCAGATTTTCATGTTCCAGCTGCTCCGGGGCCTCGCCTACTGCCACCGCCGCAAGATCCTGCACCGGGACCTGAAACCGCAGAACCTGCTCATTAGCGAGAGGGGGGAGCTGAAGCTGGCTGACTTCGGTGAGGGCCACGGCCCGGCAGGGCGAGGGGGGATCCGGCACGGTGTCCTCGGGAGGCGGGGGCTGTGGGGGAGGGAGATTCAGTGACATGTCTGTCCCCAGGCCTGGCGCGGGCCAAGTCGGTGCCCACGAAGACCTACTCCAATGAGGTGGTGACCCTGTGGTACAGGCCCCCCGATGTGCTGTTGGGGTCCACAGAGTACTCCACCCCCATCGATATGTGGTGAGTGAGCACCGTGGGGCCAAGGTGAGGGGGGAGTCACACCCCCACATTCCCTTTTGCGGCCTCAAGTCCCTCTGCAAAGAACTGCCTAACCTTTGACTAGAAGCCATGTGACATCCTGCTGAAGCAGCTGGATACGAAAAACTAAGTCTGGACTACCCCGGGGTTCCCCTGGCTCTAAACAGACCCTCCAAGGCTATGCTTCTGAAACATGCCCCCAGGGGCCCCTAGGAGGTGACCAGAGGGTACGGGAGGCCTTCCAGAGTAAACGTGAGGAATCTCCCCCAAGCATCGGTTCTACTGAAAATTTCGGAAAGGATATATTGTTTTTGTGGGAAAATTAACACGCGTATGATTTGGGGTCGAATGAAAAATCAGCCCAGTTTTAAAGCTAAAACACAGGTTTCCGATGAATGGCCACTGTGCTCTGTGCCAGGGGTTCCCCAGGAGAGTGGATTTATGGACTTTCCTCTTCCGGTGGGGGCACACGTGGACAAAGCTTGAGACAGCACTGCTTAAGGATGCCACATGGGTGCAGCCGCAAACTCCACAGCGTGAGGGGAGAGCCGAGAGAAGCCCCAGAGAGAGGCCACGGTGGCGGATTGGGCTGTGCCAGCTTCCAGTGTCCCGGGCCGCCCACCCCAGAGCCATGACCATTCGAGCCACCGTGGCAGGCAGGGCATCCCTGGTGCCCTGGTGGAGCAGCCCTAGGAAGGGCAGGTGCGAGGAGGCCCAGCCTGACGCCGCCCCTGCCCATTGCTCCCCGCAGGGGCGTGGGCTGCATCCACTACGAGATGGCCACGGGGAGGCCCCTCTTCCCCGGCTCCACCGTCAAGGAGGAACTACACCTCATCTTCCGACTCCTCGGTCAGTCTCCGGCCGCTCCCTCCCTCTCGCCACCAGGGGGCGCCAGGACTCTGTCCAGCCCAGGCGCCTAAAGGGACTGGGAAGAGGGGCTCCCCCTCGCTCTCAACCGGGCGGCCACCCCTGTGGCCTCGGCCATTCTCTGCCCCCGCCTCCTTCGTTGCACCTTTCCAAGCCGCCCTTGGCCCTGGCCCCTCACCATGCCCTTCCCACCCCCTCTTGTCTCCCCAGGGACCCCTACGGAAGAGACGTGGCCCGGTGTGCTGGCCCTGTCGGAGTTCAGAGCCTACAACTTCCCACGATACCTCCCCCAGCCGCTCATCAGTCACGCTCCCAGGTAGCCGTGCCTCCCCACACCTCCTGGCCTGCTCGTGGTCCCGGCTGTCCCTTCTGGAGGTGGCCACACACACACACACACACACACCCCACCCAGATCAGGCTTGTGCCCGCTCCGTTCTCGTGCAGGTTGGACACCGAAGGCATCCACCTCCTGACCAGCCTCCTCCTGGTGAGTGCGCGCCTGGCCGGGCCCAGGCAGCCAAATAGCACCGAACCCCCGTGCCCCACGTGGGCCCTCTGCCAGAGCTCAGGCGTCTCCCCCATCTTCCACCCTGTCGCCCCAACCCAGGCCCAAGAGGGACTTGGGAGTGGGCGTGCTCTGAACTCGAACCTCAGTTCAGACCCACCTACTAGCAGTGTAGCCGTGGGCAAGTTCTAGAACTTTTCTGGGCTTCCTTTTCCTCAACTGCAAAGAGGAATTAATAATTCGTAGTTTTGAAGATGGTCACGAGGACAAATTGAGATCATGGAACACAGTATGGGACCTGTCGTGAAGTAAATATGCAGTGAAGGGTAGTTGGTGGTATCACATGTTAATATTTCTATTACTGATGTTGTGGTCATGGTTGCTTTAGCGTCTGTGTTTCCATCCCAAGAGGAGGTCACTCTCTGGAAGTCCCGTTTCTGTCTTTCTCTTGGTAGTTGGAGACCCTAAGAGTGGAGACCTAGGACTGGCTTGGAGTTGGAGGCTGGCGGCTGACCCCGGGGGCTCCTGGGTTATACTGTGGCCCCTCGCATCCTGGCCACCTAATTTAGTGCAGTAGTTGCATTACCCAGAGGGGTGCCCAGAGTCCCCAGCCAGGGCCCAATAGCCTACCCTCTGCCTTTCAGTATGAATCCAAGAGTCGCATGTCAGCAGAGGCTGCCCTGAGCCACCCCTACTTCCGGTCTCTGGGGGAGCGCGTACACCAGCTCGAAGATAGTGAGTGTCTGGGGGAGGCTGGGGGAGGGGGACCAGGGTCGCCCCGGAACCAAAGAAGGGGCAGCAGGTGTGGGCGGAAGAGCTGGAGCAAAGAGGCCACAGGTCCCAGTCTAGCCGAGCAACCTTGGGCCCGGGGCTTCCCTTCCTTGGGTTCTCGTCCGACACTAAGGGGAGAAACTGTGGGATCTAAGACACCGCCTGAAAGGCCCAGTCCTGAATGAAGGGGTTCCCCAGCCAGGAGGTGTGGGGGGCCACGGGCTCCAGGAGCAGGTCGCCCCTACCCAGCTCTCTCCCTGCCTTTTCCCTCCCTCGTCACAGCTGCCTCCATCTTCTCCCTGAAGGAGATTCAGCTCCAGAAGGACCCGGGCTACCGGGGCCTGGCCTTTCAGCAGCCAGGTAGGGGCTCCCCCACCACTCCCCTTATTGGAGTAGACCAGGCAGGCTGCTCCTCCCTCCGGAAGAACAGAGATGGGGCCCACCAGCCCCTCCTGCAGCGGGGAAATCAGCATGGCCTCCGCAACATGGGCCTTCCTTCGGGGAGCCCGTGGGGAGCGGGGAAGGGGCTGGCTTCCCTATCTCCTGCCCAGGCTTCCTCCTCCAGGGTGTCCCTTGTCAACTCCCACCCCAGACACAGCACTGACAAAGCCCTGATGAAGGTGCGTGCTCTCTCTGGTGCATTCACACTCTGAATACTGTCACCTCCATACCATGTCTCTGGGACAGCTGAGGGGGTGACAGGTGTGTTATTCCAGTCCATCCTAAAACACCCCTTATAGCTGGTGCTTGTGTGTGTGTATATATATTTTCTTAAGTAATCTCTACACCCAGCGTGGGGCTCAAACTCACGACCCCAAGATCAAGCATCACAGGCTCTCCCAACTGAGCCAGCCAGGTGCCCTGAAGTAGGTACTATTAATGCTGAATAATCCCATAATCACTGAATCTGAGGCATAGGGGAGGTGAGGTCACAGTTTCATGCGGCTAGTAAGTAACAGAGATGGGATTTGAACCCAGGACCTGCTGGCTTCTGAGACCATACTTTTGCTGGCTCTGTCAGAGTGGCACCGGAGCACGGCTGTCCCTCCCGATCTCGGGCCCCCTTCTGCCCAGGCCCCTCTCTGCAGCCCCACCTCTCCCCTCTGTTGTCCAGGACGAGGGAAGAGCCGGAGGCAGAGCATCTTCTGAGCCGTGACCCCCCTGCTGCGGCCCGAGAGACGAGAGGTCACAGTGAGCACAACCACAGGCAGGACGGGGCCTGCGTGGCCCCAGCAGGACTGAGGAGCAAGGGCTGATGGCTGGCCCAGAAGACCTCTGGCCACGGCTGTTTCCTCTTCCTGCTTCCCACACGCCTCCCCTGCAGCCTTCACCTACACACCACACCGTCTGTCACCGGCCCTGGAGCCGGAGGGGGAGCCGCTGTCCTAGGAGGAGACGAGGGGGTGGGGAGGGACCTCAGACCCTGTCCCACCCTGAAGTGCTCGGGCACCAGCGTGGGACCCACAGAGGCGGGAGACTCCAGGGGCCAGACTGAGCACCGTGCCCAGGACATGGGCAGCATCGTGTCCCCCCCCCCCACCCCTGCCCACACTTCACTCACCCTCTTCCCCTCTGAGAGCAGGAAGCGGCACGGCACCTCGTCTAGGACCCTGGAGTCCTGCGTGCCAATGTGTGTGCCAAAGCCCACCCCCCCCCACTCGAAGGGAGGGTGTCCCTGGAGCAACAGAGAGAATAGCAGCCCACCCCCCTTCTCCACACCCTCATCATGTTCCCATCCCCTCTCCTGGCCAGAGGCCCCATATGCTGCTGGAGTCCAGCTGAGTCCAGAGGTGGCCTGGTACCACCAGCTTCACTCTGTCACCTCAGCTGGCTCCCACCCCTCTTCCTGGTCTGAACGGGATTGCCTTAAATTGGCAGGTGGTAGAGCACTCACTGCCCTTGGAGCTCTGACCCAAGCTCCTGCCTGTCCACCCTTTCCCGAGAGCGGTTCCTGCTTATCGAGCCCGGGCGCTGATCAGCCGGCCCTGGGCCAGGGTCCTGGAGGTGACACGCAGATATGCAAGGTCACCCTGACACTGGTGCCAGGCCGGCCTCGGCTCCTTGGGGCTAGCACAGCCCCTGGCCCCCCCCCCCCCCCCCCCCCGGGGCCCCGCCGGGCCCGGCGCCCCGGGGGCCCCCCCCCCCCCCCCCCCCCCCCCCCCGTTCCCTCCTTGCCACCCCTGTGTCCCTATCCATGCTCCACCCAATCCTGGCACCAGCCTCCCCATACCTCTGCCCACCCCTCTCCCCAGAGGGTAGGGTGTAAATGCCACGGTCTGAGGTGGAGGAAGGTGGGATAGAACGCACAGGCTTTGATCCTGAGAGGCTGGGAGTATGAGGGGCCGCAGCCCCAAAGACGGTGCCCTCACCACCCCTTCAGAGCACGCCTGTTGTATCCCCAAGGTCTCCTCAACACTTGGCTGAATCTCGAATGGCAAGGCCAAGAGGAGGCCAGGCCCGGCCTTGCTACACAAGACCCCTGCCCAGCCCGACCCCTCAGCCTGAGGGGCAGCCCTGGAGGGTCTTGGCCTCCCCACAAGTCCCTCCCTTCCTCCCCCACTGTACTGTGAATGTCCTGTGACTCAGCACAAAGACAGATAATATATTTAATTCATGTTGTACAGAAAGGAGCGAGCAGTCTGTACCGAAAAGCTGATTTTGACAGATTGATGCCAAAGATGGACGACTGAAGGCCCTTCTCCAGGCCTCGTGAGTGCGGCTGGGGCGTGCTTGTAGATGTATATATATATATAAAGTGGACAGAGAGTTTGGTTTGTGTGGATCTCTGAGCCCACCCTGGGCTTGGGCGGGGTTCCCTGCACCCTTCCTGCTGGATTCCGGATGCTGCCGCCTCCAGGGCCGGAAGTCAGTTCTGGGTGTTGTGGGGTGGAGCGGAGGAGGCCTCTGCCCAGGGTGGTGGCTGGAGGGGTGGAGCCAGCCAGAGAGGGAGTCCCGGGGAGGGGTGCCGGCTGCTGTAGCTGACCCTCCTGCTCCCCCAACTGAACAGCTTCCTGACTAATTGGGAGGGAAGGAGGGAGGTTTAAGAGAGGGTTGACATGGGGAATGGCCGAGGCCAAGGCACAGAACGAGGGTGAGCACCTCTGTCCTCCAGCCCAGCAGCAGTGTCCACAAACCCTGAAACCACCTTGTGCTGCCCAGACCGCCTCTCACCTCGGGTACACGCAACCTTCTTGCACACACATCTTCCAAAGTTCCCAGCATCCTGCTCTGTCTTCCAAGTCAGCGTCCAGGCTTGTTCTCCCAAGAGCACTCGGAGAAGGCCAGCCCCAAACCGCACCTCCTGACTTTCCCTGTCCAGTGGCCTCATAGCCAGCCATAACCACTTTCCAATCCGCTGACATCCTTGGCGTGGCTGCTTTCAGAGAAGGAAGCAAATGCTGAGGTTGGGTGATGTCTTCCGAGGTCATAAAAGTAAGGGGCGGACCAGGGCTTGGTTCTCAGCCCAGCACCACTTCTGCCCCCTGGACTTCCTCACCCTTTTCAGGCAGCCGGTCACCAAACTATAGGACAGTTAGTGCTTGTTGGGAGACGTAGTGGTGGGAATCAGGGATATATATATATATATATATATATATATATATATATATGAATATATGAATATGAGAGAGACCATGAGCCAGGGAGAGGGGCAGAGGGGGAGAGAGAGCGACTCTTAAGCAGGCTCCATGCTAAGCAACAGAGGGCTTGATCCCACGACCCTGGGATCATGACCTGAGCTGAAATCAAGAGTCGGACACTCAACTGACTGAGCCATCCCGGTGCTCCCCAAGTCAGACTTTTTAAGCTAAGTTGAGTGGGGGGTCACCTGGGTGGCTCAGTCAGTTAAGGGTCCGGCTCTTAGTTTCCGCTCAGGTCATGGTCTTACTGTTGTGAGATCTAGCCCTGAATTGGGCTCTGTACTCACAGCACAGAGCCTGCTTGGGATTCACTCTCTCCCTCTCTCTCTCTGTCTCTGCCCCTTCAGTGAGCTCTCTCTCTCTCAAACGCACACACACACACACACACACCAAAAAACAAAAACAAAACAAAAAGCTGAGTTTGGAAAGAGCCCAGACAGACCTGATATTGATGAGACTCCCCACTACATGCCAAGCACGTGCAGAAGCATCTCACTGACCCCTCACAACAGCCTGTCGCTCTCCCTGCTCTGCAGGTGAGGACAGTGAAGTTAACTGTCTTCCCCAGAGTCATCAAGCAAATAAGAATCCCAGGTCTGTCGGCCATACCAGCCATTGGTCTTCAAGGAGGGAAAGGAGCAGAGAGAAGGAGGTGTGGACAGTGCGGGGCCCTCGGAGCCAGGGGAGCCAACACAAGGCAGGACTCCAGGCTGCCGCTGCTTTGCTGGAGCACCTCGCGAGACCACCGTTGTGGGCAGGCAGCGATGGCCACCAGTTCACAGAGGGGCCTGCCCCTTTAAGAGTTCCTGGGGGGGACAGCTGTTCTGTCTGTTGTGGAGGCTCACATGGGTGGGGGGGTATGTTGGAGGTCTATGGTGGTGGGGGGGAGGCATCAAGGCACTCTGAGCTGCCCAAGAAAGCCTGGGGTCCCCAGCGACAGGTTCGCACGAGGCTTCGTATGTAGTTAGCGCTCCAAACCTTTCAGTGCAGAAGTGCTTCCGGAGAAGGCAGCTGGAGGGCCCGGTGAGTCTGGTTATGAGCTGTAGGGGCGGAGGGCGTCAGGCGCCATCACCTGGCTCTCTAGCGACCAGGCTAAACAACACAGGCACGTGTTTCCTGGACACCCCCGCCATCATGTCCTTATACCTTAGGGCTCAGGAGCTTGCCCGTTTCACTGGAGCCCTGGGCAAAAGCACCCCTTAGCGAGTCATATCCCCCCTGGTACCGCTGCGCCATCTGCTCCTGGAGTAGGTCAGGGATCCCGGGGTCTCGACTGACCTCTCATTTCACCATGCCCGCTCTGCCGGGCGTTTGTAGTTTGCAGCTGCCTGACAAAAGGTCCTAGTTGTGGATGGCTGCAGGGGTGGGGTGGGACCAGGGGCTGGCTCTCCGCAGCCCCACCCTTCCCTTCCTGTGGGCTCCCAGTCGCCCTGCCCCTCCAGTCTGGTCCAGTCCCCCAGGCCGCCACTCCCTTCGCCCTGCTCGGCTGCTTGGACCCGCTGAGGGTCAGCGCCGTCGCCAGACCTCCTTGTCTTCCTTGAAGCAGCGCCCTTGTGGCCCATCTTTCCACCTCCATCCCTTTGGACCCCTGCTTCCATCTTGAGGCCTCCCAGCACTCATGAGCCCTTCTGTCTCCGGAGCAAATCCTCACACCATGAATCGGTCGCTGGGCCCAGGATGCCGAGGTGCATGAGGTGCCCTCACCTTCCAGGGGCTCAGGCCTGCTGGCGGAGAAGGTGTCTCCATACACCTTCTTGTCAAGTGCTCATTGAGTGCCAGGCGCTATGTTGGGCCCTGAGGATGGGGCAGTGAAAGAACCGCCATGTCCCTGCTGTCAAAGAGCTTAGAAAGATGTCACCCAGATACACACATGGTACATCCAGGGGTCAGAAGTGTGATAGGACAAAATTGAGCAGGGTCAGGACAGGTGTGACAGCCGGGGGTGGGGGCTCTCTGACAAGATCAGGGGCAGCCGTGACTTGAGGGGGGGCGGGGAAGGTGGACCCCCAAGGACAGAGCATTCCAGCAAAGGCCCTGAAGGGAGCGTACTTGAGAATGAGCAAGGAGGAGGCAGGCTGGAGCACAGTGGCCGGGCAGGCTGGTGAGGCCGCCGGGAGCACGTAGGACATGCCAATGCCTGGCTCCAGCTCAGATCAGTTCGCTCAGACCTGGCGGTGGGGACAGGCATCAGTAGTTTTTCAAAAGCTCCTTAGATGACCCTAATGGAGCGTGTGCAAGTGAGCAGGTTTGTCAGGACTTGAACCCAGGCCCGCCCGCCTGAGCAGCACCACCGGCCTCCCGGGGAGATGTGGGCGGCCAGCGGCCAGCACAGAGGATGCACAGCTGGGGTCCTGAGGACTGGGAGCAGCACCCTCGCCCTCCGGTCACCTACAAGCAAAGGTCACCATAGGCACCAGAGGGTTAGCCAACAGTCACTGCGCCCCCACCCCACCACACGCCCCCTGCCACCAGCCAGCTCCTCCTCAGGACCCTCTGGACCTCCCACCATCCACCAATGGGAAGGGCAGCATAGGACATGGAGGCCGGAGGCCGCTGTGCCTGGCGGCCTTTCTGAAGGTCGGTGCTCAGCTCCGGTGAGGGTGTGCCACCGCCCGAGACAGGACAGGACGGGGCAGAGGGTACGCTGCCTGCCGGCGCCTCCCCCGCCCGTCAGCCCCTTCTCCTCTCCCTCCTTCCCTCCTTCTTCCTGGCTCTCGCTCCCTTTTCCCCTCTGCCACGCCCTCTTTCTGCCCCTCCCCCTTCCTCTTTGGGGGGGAACACTTAACCCTGGGGAGCCATCAGCTGACCTGGCCTTCTCCCTGAGGAAGAAGATCTTGCGGCCTCCCCAAGCCCGAATCCCTGAAAAGCTCTCCTGAGGCCAAGCTTCCCTTTTTTTCACCCTCATCCCTTTTCTAGTGACGTCGACACAAGCAGGGGGCAGGGGGCGCTGTGGCAGTGGCTGTGCGGCCATGGGGGGGTGCAGCCTGAGCGTGGCAGGCGCGTGGCTTTATCCTCCTGGATGCAGGCAGCACTCCTCCCTGCTTGGAGCTTCTGCCCTGTTCCTATTTCCTGACCCCTCCCCCCTCCCCTCTGCCTCCTCCTTCCCCTCTCCCTCCTCCCTCCCTGCCTCCTTCCCTCATTCATTATTCATCTGAGGGCTCCTGACAATGTGCCAGGCTCTGTTTCCAGTACCACCCGGATACAAACTTGACCCTGACTTAGACCCTACTTGGGGGAGCTCAGAGTCGGAGTCAGTTAGGATGTGGTCTTGGCTTCCTCTCATGAGATCTCAGTTACTTGAGGGAAGGAGAGTTGTCTTTTAAAATTTACCAAGTTCTTTTCTTTCTTTTTTCCTTTTCTTTCCTTTTCTTCCTTTTCTTTTCTTTTTTTCTTTTCTTTTCTTTCTTTTCTTTTCCTTTCTTTTCTTTTTGTTCTTTTCTTCTTTAACATTTCAAACACAACAAAACCTTTTTATGCCATCCAGGTTTTCCCTGGAGGAGGGGTCAGCTGGGTCCTGGGTTCCTGAGACGGAGTCTTACACATCCAGGGCTCCAAAATACACAGGCCTGGATTCAAATCCCATCTCTGCTGCTTGCAAGCTGGGCCACCTTGGGCATGTTACACCCCTCTGTGCCTCAGTTTCCTTCTCTGCGGCATCACCCTTTTTCACAGGATTGTGAGGGTTCAAGAGAACTCTGGGGCTGGCACCCAGTGCTCGGTAAACGGTGGCATGGGTACGCTGCGCATGCCCACCCTGGTCCCCAGCAGCAGGGATTCCAGCCCCTTCCTTCCCCCCGGGATCCCAATCCTGGCATTAGAATTGGCCGCTTTTCCGTTTCTTGCTTTCTTCACCCTTGATAAGATCTGTTATTTTCAACAATGTATTAGGCACCTTCCATCTCAAGGATTTTGCAAGCCTTGAAGATGACCTCAGCCCAGAGTATTGTCTCCACAGAGCTGGGGAAGGAAGCATGGAAAAGTTTACAATGAAAGCATTGGGTCAAGGTGTCACTCAAAGTGGGTCAGCTGCCTTCTGCGGTAGCCAGTGCTCTGTCCCTAGAAGCACTGTGGCAGGGGCTGGGGGAGCACCTGTTGGGAGCTCTGGGGGCGTGCACTGCCTCTCCTAAGTCCTACCGGCTTGCAGAGGAAGGGGCCATCTGGGTCGGCCAGATCCGTACCTGGTCTGACACTACTCTTTGGGTCTCCACTTTGCCAAGCGGGGGAGCAAAGTCTGGCCCACAGGTGAGAAGCATTGCTCAGAGTGGCTGAGAAAAATGTAGTAAACCGTGGCTGTGGGTTGCAAACCTCCTCCCCCCTGGACTCCAGGAGGCTTGGGCCACCCTCCCAATCAGGTCACTCGCTTTAAGACCAGACTACCTTGGCTTTTCAAGAGCTGGGACTGACTCTGGGGTGTGGGAATGAACAAACCTGGGGTTCCAGAAGCTAGAGCTGTTGAGGGTGGGAAGGCTGCCTTGGGGAAGAGGGGACGGGGCCAGGGGTTAGAGAGGTGATCCTCAACCACCTGTGACTGTATGCCTCTGGCCAAGAGTTCCACCTGGTAATGGAAAGGACGGCCCAGCTTCACTATACAAGGTAGCGGGGAAGGTCAGGATTCACAAGCAGGGCAGAGGTCGAGAGCAGAGCTCTCTCTAGTGTCTGGCTGCCTCGACTTGAATCCTGTTCCACCACTTCCTGGTTGTGGGACCACATAACATGGCTTCTCCATGCCTCAGTTTCCCCATCTGTAAAATAGGGTGAGTGTAGGATTAATGTGGAGATTAAACAAGTTAATACATAGGGGTGCCTGGGTGGCTCAGTTGGTTAAGCATCCGACTTCGGCCTAGGTCATTATCTCGCCGTTCCCAAGTTTGAGCCCCACGTTGGGCTCTGTGCGGACACCTCGGAGCCTGAACCTGCTTCAGATTCTGTGTCTCCCTCTCTCTCTCTCTCTGCCCCTCCTCCACTTGTGCTCTCTCTCTCTGTCTCTCTCTCGGGAATGAATAAACATCAAAAAAAATTTTAACGAGTTCATACACAGAAAGCACTCAGAATTTATTGGCCACATAGAAAGCACCACAGTAAGTGTTAGCGTTGTTACCTGTCTCCCAGGATAAAAGCAGACATCACTCACCCTCTGTTTTCCCAGTGAGTGCCATGAGGGAGCACTAGAGGGAGGAAGTACTGTGGCGGGGGCGGGGGGGGGGGGGGCGCGGAGTCCAGGGATGAATAAAACCCTTTCTGTCCTAGGGGAGCCACTCTTCCTCCCGAACTGCCATCAGAGCTGGAGAATTCTGACGTCCCTTATCCTAACACATCTATGTTCCAGGCAGAGTGCTGTGAATTTAACAAATTGACTAAATTTAAAAAAATGTCCTTTGTTTACTTCAACAGACATTTATTAAACATCTCCTTGGCCCAAGCAACCCTGTGAAACACTAAAGATTTAGAAATAAGTAAACAGTGCTCTCTCCTCAAGGAACTCGTGTCTGGTCAGGGAGAGATAAGCCGATTGCAGGAATGATAATAATGGCTTCGAAGTGGGCTTCGTTTATCTGCTCCTCACAGATGCCCGGGTGATAATCCCAGAGGGTGGGAGCAGCCTGCCCGCCGTGAGCCTCCCTCCCCTCCCCTTCCTCAGCCCCCGCAATACCTGTGAGTGTTACAAGCCTCATAAAGTGAGTTGCACCTTTACACTCTAGGTTCGGGTCAGGGTCGTGAAGAAACATGAATTAATATAAAAATGAAACGTCTGATCCATCAGGAATCTTCCCATTGATGGTCCTACCGGCATCTTCGCAAGGTTCCCAAGCCCTATGTTCCCCAGCCTCTGAGCCTCTTTCTCCACCTGTGTCTGACCATCCACTCTGTAGTGTGACCATCTACACTCGTGCCGCTGGGCCAAGGACCCACCCTTCCCGGAAGGGGCTTCCTTTCTCAAGCCTCTGCACCTCCAGAGTCCATCTGTCCGTGTTCCCCCTGCCTGGACTTCTCCTTCCACCTCCCTCAGCAGCTCCGGCTCAGACTCACTGGGCCTTGGACAGGTGCTTCCCCTTGCTGGGAGTCAGCGCCCTGTCCCTAGAGTGAAGGGGGGCCCCAGATGCCCTAGAGTGTCCCCTCTGCTCCAGATTTTACACCAACCTGTTTCCACTTCAGTGTTTTGTATGAATCATTTCCCTCCCTCCTCCTTTCAAGCACGTCTCAAACTCCCCTCCTCCAGGAAGTCTTCCGTGATCCACCCCATGAATATTTTCTGTGTGCTCAGTTCTGCCGGCACCAAAGTGCTGACACTAGGGCTTCAGGGGGTCTCAGCCTCTCATAACCCCCATCACCCAAACGTCACCCAAATACACACAACCTGAGTAAAACCAGAGCTTGATAGGGTAATGTGACCTCGAGGTAAGTCATCCAACACCCTCCACCTCCAACCAGTCGTACCCCCAAGCCTCACTCTCTAGAAATTCTAACAGCCTGCGTTCTGTACTCGGGTTTCAGTGTCTTCCTAGGGTTCAGATTGTAAACTGTCTGGGCGGTCTTCACTGCCACCCCAACCCTAACTGCTTTGTTAGGCGAACGACACCAGTTGGTGAATTTGTTTGCAATGACTGAGGCACTCTCGTGCACACTGGCCCATTTTGCTCCGAAAAACATCCCGTGGGGTAGACAGGGGCAGGCTCGATTACCTCACTTCACGGATGGGAAAACTGAGGCCCTGGGAGGTTTAACGCCTTGCACACGGTTAGCTAAGTGACAAAGCAAGGTCTCCCATCAGGAACACCTATTTGCCTCACTGAGCTAGTTTCTTGCCGGCTCCGATTTTAATCCGTTCCAGTATATGGAGCTGTTGAGCCCTTGGCCCCTTAGAGCTGGCAGGGGAGCCACAATAAGCAGATTTGACCTCTAATCTGACTCGCCCAGCTGGTTCGGAAGACAGCCACTCTTCACCTTGCCTCTTCCACAGCTGCTCCGGGCCCCTCTCTGCACCCCTCCTTCTCCCCCCACCCTTTCCCACTAGCTCTGGGAGCCATGGGATGGGCGCGGGGTGGGCTCCCAGGAGGATGTGAGCCTAAGGACAGGCGGGATGTTTTCCCGACTCCACATTGTTCGGCCCGTGCCCATTGTGTGGGCCAAGAGCTGGGCGTCACCGAGTCGCCTGGCAGGCTTTCAGCAGAGCTGGGGAACATTTCCGGAGGGAACTGACCCGTTATGAATGATGGAAGCTTCTCACAAGTGTTGGCATTTCTTTGGACGGGCCAGACTCGGGGAGGCAAGGCAAGGAAGACTCCCAGACTCCCCATTCCTGGCAGCCGGCTACCAGACCAAAGGTCCCAGGGACCTTGGCTGACCTGTGGTTTGCAGAGAGGGCCTAGTCCCACAGCGAGAGGGGTTTGGGAATGTAAAGTGGAGGGGAAAGGGGTTGGGGGCGAGGGTGGGATGGAGGACTTGCCTACGAGGGGCCAAACTGAACGGTTATTCTGTTTACATCACCTGACTCCAACTTGGGACGGCTCACACCTGAGGACAGGAACCGGATCTGGTCACTTGGAAAGCTCATGGAGCTCATCCTACAGGAAACGCGGGTCAGAAATGTGTTACAACAGTTCGGCGTTTGCCATGGATGAGTAATGCTGGGTGTACGCCCAGCTCTTCCCTCCCAGGGAAGGCATTTAATTTGTGCACCCCCCCCCCTTTACCACGTGGCTGGGTGTGCCCCCCTGGAGAGGTTCCCCGATGCCGGGTGTTGTGTATCGATTTTCCCACAGTTTGATTTAATCCTCAAGAGGCCGGCATAGTAACCCGCTTCTTATAGATGAGGAAACCGTCTCACAAAGGTTAAGGAATTAGTTCCAGACCACACACACACAGCTATTTCGTGGCAGAGCTGAGCTTTGAACCCAGGTCCGTGACGCTGCAAAATCCACGTTCTACAGCAGGATTTCTCAACCGTTCGCGTCCATAAGAATTGGTTGGGGTGTTAGCTAAGAATGCAGAGTTCTGGGCCCCGTCCCCCACCCCACCCCTCAACAGAACAAGGTTAGGTGACTGGAATCTGCATTTTTTGCCAGACAACACAGGTGACTCTGAAGTTGCTGGGGCACAATCAGAGAAACACTGCCTTGGGGTCTGGACTGCCTTCTGTGACTTTAGCCAAAGAGAGCACCAACCCGGTCTGAAAATGTGGGTGCAGCCCGATGCCCCTGCCACGACCTCATGGTGGCCTCACCTCACGCACATGTCCCTTGCCTGAGGAGTGAAACCCAGGAGAAGCAGCCTGGAGCCTATGAGGACGACCAATCTGCAGCCTAGAAAAGTCTCCCGTTGCCCTTTACAACATGTTAAGCCCACAAGAGAAACCTGAGTGACAAAATCAGGGACAAAGGGGTCCTCGTTCATCCCTTGGATGTTTATGGACCTCTGCCATGGGAAAGGGTTTGGGACAGACAGCTGAGATCCTGAGCTCGCAAATAGTACAGGTTTCTCAGAGCTGGGTGCCTCCAGGAACCTCCTGCTTTAGAATTATTTGCTGTGTGCTGCGAATTCAGAACCCTGGGCCCCAACCCAGACTCCACAGTCAGAATCTCGGGGCCGGGTGAACTCTGGAAATCTGCCTCTTAAATACCCTCCCCGGGCGATTCTGAAGCAAACAGAGGTTTGGGAAGCAGTGCGCAAAGGGTCTGGAAGGCAAGGAACTCCTGCGGGGATCCCAGGAAGGCCCCACAGCATTGGCTGGGAGCCCTGGGGGGACAGCTGTGGGTTAGTGGAAGGAGCGTCACGCTCGGTGTGTGCAATTCTGGGTTTGAATCCCGAGCGAGTGGCAACCTCCCTGAGCGCAAGTGCTCACAGGCAAGATGAGGATAGTCTGGGCCACCTCCCCGCATCACCATGAAGACCAGGGGGCATGCTGTAGGCCCTGAATGGTCCACGGCACGGGTGTGGTGGCACAAGTTTATTCTAGGTTTTTAGGCAATTCCAACGGAAGGATCCTGGCAGCATCTGGCCTCCAGCTGGCACAGACACACTTCATGCCCCTGGGGAGCCAAGATCTGGGCTGGGTGTGGGGGGTTCAAATTCAGAATCATGACTCTGGACTCTGATGGAATGGCCCGGGGCATCCTTGGAGGGTCAGGGCTCAGGCTATGGCCCACAGGACCCTGACACCCAGATCAGGCCTCGAGGGCTGTTGCCACCCCTCCACTGCCCTGTCTGTCTGTCCACTCCCCTGTCCATCCGCCTCCAAGCCCCTTTGCTCCTCTCCAGGAGGTCACACTAAACGCATTGGCTCTGAGGGGCCAGCTCAGGCCCTTCCTCACTCTACCCTCACTGTTCCTCCTCTTGTCTCCCTGCTGTTGTCCCTACCGAGCTGGGGGACCTAACCGTTCCCCCTCTCCGCCACCCTCAGCGGCTCTGAGGACGCTGCCTGCTCTTCCTTGACCCGCGTGCCCTCTTTTGAGGCTCCATTCCCCACCCACCCCGCGAGAAGCCCAGGGTTATCCTTAGGCCCGCAGCCAACTCCTTCCGGGGGGGGGGAGGAGGACCTGCTAAACTAATTCACACCCAGGAGGTGGACGAGGCGACCCTGGGCCCTCGCCGGGAACGTGTGCGCTTTACAAGAAGCTGCAGGAAGGAGGCAGAGCAGGGCTGGCAGACGGCCTCTCCCCTGGCAGCTTGGCCTTGCAGTTAAGGGCATAGGCTCTGGAGCCAAAGGGTTCAGATCCTGGCTAGACCATTCACCTTGGGTCACCTGCTTTACCTCTCTGTGCCTCAGTTTCCTTGTATGCAAAACAGAGATGTGGTCAACGAATCCATTTCCTTAACGCAGGAGAGCACTCAGAACATGTCTGCGACGTACCAGGTCCTCGGTAAATATCAGCCATTAGCGCCTATTAATGGAAGGGTTTCAGACACGGGAGACCGTTAATGGTCTGGACTCCATCAGTAACTGCCCGTGTCCACCCAGGGCCATGTGCGCCCCGCCTCCAGCCTTCGTGGCACTCTCATCCGAGGGTGATGCTGCAAAGGGAGCCAGTGTCCAGACTCTCAGGCCGAGACTCAGCCTTTTGGGAAATCTGGGGAAGAAGGGTGAGAGCAACAGTGGCCAGATTAGGGGCAAGGTCTCAAATAGCATCCCTGAAGCCAGGGCAAAAATGGACGGGAGAGGAACTTGACATCTTCTCCGCTGTCATTTCCTTTAGGTTCAGCTCCCCTGTGAACTGGGGGCAGGGCTTGGTGAGAGATGGGGAGCACAGGGGCGGGGGCGCAGTTTATGAACCACTGGGTCTCTGGACTCTGGGAAACCGGGAAGGAGTGGGATTCTCTGGCAGCAACTTTCTTCTGCAAAACGGAAAGAAAATTCAGGTCCTCCAGGCAGGGAGACGGGCAGCAGGGCCCTGCTCCAGTCACCCCTCCGGCTCCCGCCCCATCCCTTCTGGCCAGCATCCCTCCAGATAGGGGCGGGCAGGAAGACTGGAAGGCTCCTGGAGGGCGGGGGTGGGGTGGGGTGGGGGGTCCGTGGACAAGTCTCTGCCACAAATGTCACCTCGTCTCCCAGCCCCGTGTTCTCCAGGGACATGAAGAAGGGGACTCTTCTACTTCCTCAGACGAGCCACCCCGGGAGAGCCCTGTCTCCTCACACCGGACCACTGGGAGTGGGTCCAGCACCCCTTGTTGGTTTGGAAGATGCGTCCCCGTTTGAAGAATGCCACTTAGGTAGGGGGCCCCCGCGAGGAGGGGAGCAAGGACTGCGGCCAGGTCAGGCAGAACACCAAGTTCACACCCTGGAAACTCTGACACGCAGAAAGGAGACACCAAAGCAGAGGCTGTGGCCAATAGTAATTCTCTCAGTACCTCCATCTTGCAGAAGGTGGAAGAAGCCACGAGGGAACAGCCGTTAGGCCCACACTTTCCTGGCACTCGGGGTGAGTCAGGGCCTGCGCTGCACCGGGAAGCACGGTGACTCATAAGACAAGGGCCACACACATGAGGAATCTGGTGCAGAGGGGGATGGTGGGTTACCCGGCCACAAAGGAGGGCGCCCCTGATTCTATCTGGGAGGGGGGATATTTGAGCTGGACAGACTGGGTCGCATTACTGCAGGACAGGGGAGAACAGCCAAGGGGCCGTGTTCACGGGTCATAAACCCTCCCAGGGAGGGACGGGGAACCACAGAGGAGGATGCAAATGCAACAGGGGCCTCGACGTGCACATTGAAGGGATTCCTGCAAACAGTGGGGAGGGGGAACATACATGGCTTTTTCCTGATCATTAGAAGGAATATATCTTTATCATTAAAAATTGGGGCAGGGGTTCCTGGGTGGCTCAGTTAAGTGCCCGATTCTTGGTTTCAGCGCAGGTCATGATCTCAAGGTTCTTGAGATTGAGCCCTGCGTCGGGCTCAGCACTGGCAGCACGGAGCCTGCTTGGGATTCTCTCTCTCTCTCTCTCTCTCTCTCTCTCTCTCTGCCCTTCCTCCACTCTTGCTGTCTCTGTCTCAAAAATAAATAAATTAAAAAAAAATTTTTTTATGTTTATTTTTGAGAGAGACAGAGACAGAATACAAGTGGGTTAAGGGGAGAGAGAGAGGGAGACACAGAATCCGAAGCAGGATCCAGGCTCTGAGCCGTCAGCACAGATCCCGACGCGGGGCTCGAACCCACGAGCTGGGAGATCATGACCTGAGCCAAAGTCGGATGCTCAACCGACTGAGCCACCCAGGCACCCCTCAAAATAAATAAATTTTTAAAAATTTAAAATAAGTGAGGGGAGAAACAGAAAAAGAAGAGAGAAGAAAATTAAAATCACTCATCTGCCAGCTACCCAGAAATAACCACTGTTAACATGTTGATGTTTTCCCTTCAGATTCTTTTTTTATAAAGAGAACTTTAAAAAGAGGAAAAGTATGATAAATACAATATGTAATATACAGGCATATTATATAGCAAAATACATATTTCATATTAAAGGGTTATGTTACATTAGAACATAATCTGAATTCAGAGAATATAGATTAACAAACAATTATTTTATAATAATTTAGTATGTGTGCTTTTTAAAAAACTAAATTGAGGGGCGCCTGGGTGGCGCAGTCGGTTGAGCGTCCGACTTCAGCCAGGTCACGATCTCACGGTCCGTGAGTTCGAGCCCCGCGTCGGGCTCTGGGCTGATGGCTCAGAGCCTGGAGCCTGTTTCCGATTCTGTGTCTCCCTCTCTCTCTGCCCCTCCCCCGTTCATGCTCTGTCTCTCTCTGTCCCAAAAATAAATAAAAAACGTTGAAAAAAAATTAAAAAAAAAAAAAACTAAATTAAGATGGTACAAAGGGGAGTTTTAAATTTAATTTATTTATATTTAATAGACAACACATCTGTGTGCTCCATAATTTAAAAGGTCCAAGAGCATTTATAGTGAAAGTGTCCCTTGGGGAGCCTGGGCGGCTCAGTCGGCTGAGTGTCCGACTTCAGCTCAGGTCATGATCTCACAGTTCATGGGTTCGAGCCCTGTGTCAGATTCTGTGTTTGCCTCCCTCTCTGCCCCTCCCTCACTCATGCGCTGTCTCTGTCTCTCAAAAATAAATACGCATTAATAATAATAATAATAATAATAATTTTAAAAAGAAAGTGTCCCTTTCACCCCATCTCCCAGCAGCTAGTTCCCCTCCTTGGAGATGTGATTGTTGCTGTAACCTCAAGGGACTTTATTCATAGACAACACAAACACATCTTATTTTTTCCCCTTTACACAAATGTCACAAGAGTGTTAGCCACTTATTCTGCATCCCCAGTTTTTACTAAATATATCTTAGATACCATTTCCTATCAATGCATAAAGTGTTCTCATGTTTGTGACTACATGATATTCCATTATATGGCTGTCTCTAATTTATGTCTCTACTCAGTCATTTGGGCTTTCCACCATGTTTTGCCTAAGTAAACAGTGCTGCAATAAATAACTTTGCACATATGTCATTTTGCATAAGAACACCTCTCTA